TGCTTAAGAACGAGCTCACGTCTAAATTGAGTTGACGCATTCGAGCCTGGGTCATTGGACCTTGCATGACGGTTGGAGGATCAACTGGTACATCCGAAGGAGTGATGTCCGAAGGAGTGATGTCCTCATCAAGAGGAAGGTGAATAGTCTATTAAAAATTCTACAACAACACTAAGTCAAGTGGTTAGACAATTATGAGGCGAAGCGAATGTTGCGCTAGCCTACTAAAAATACAAGCCACCTAACCATAATTCTAGTTGCTATAGTCTCTATGTCACACACAAGGCTAGGTCACTACCACTGTTAGTGAGCTCTCAAAGACTAACTAAAGAGTCTCACTAACCAAATTAGACAAGACACAAGCTAGCTCTCAAAACTAATTACACTAAAGAGCTTAACTACACTAGGAATGCAAATACACAAGAGAGGTAGCGAGTTATACCGCCGTGGCAAGAGATGATCAATCAATCACAATGAATACCAATGAAATCTTCAGAGACAAGATGACACAATGATTTTTCACCGAGGTTCACTTGCTTGCCGGCAAGCTAGTCCTCGTTGTGGCGATTTACTCACTTGGAGGTTCACACGCTAATAGGCATCATACGCTTAACCCACAATCGGGTGCTGCACAACCAACACAAGATGAGGATCCACTGGTCACGAGTAATCCACTAGAGTACCTTTTGGCTCTCCACTGGGGAAAGGTCAAGAACCCCTCTGAAAGGATCAAGATGCCCAAGAGGGGGGTGAATTGGGCTAATTCTAAATTTCTTTCAATAATTAAACCCTACGGTTAGCCTAATTAACCCCTTTGTGCCTAAAAAGTGTTTCTATTGATCTAACGCACAAAAATTTAGCACCCTATGTTCCAATCATACTCTAGCATGGCAATTCTATGAAAGTAAAGACAAGAATTGAATTGCTCAAGGTAAATGCTTAAAGTAAATAGAAAAGGAGGAATGCGGTGATGTTTTGCTGAGGTATCGGAGAGTTGCCACTCCCCACTAGTCCTCGTTAGAGCACCCGCGTGTGGGTGTAGCTCCCCCTTGATCCGTGCAAGGATCAAGTGCTCTCTACGGGTTGATTCTTTGACACTCTGTTGCGGTGAATCACCCACAACCGCTCACAACTTGAGTTGGGTCATCCACAAACTCTGTCGGATGATCACCAAGCTCCCAATCACCACCAAGCCTTCTAGGTGATGGCGATCATTAAGAGTAACAAGCATGAACTCTCACTTGACCACGACAAGCCTAATGAGAAGAGTGGATGCACACTTTGCCACTCTTGCTTTCACTAATGAGGCCTCTCTCTTGGATTCTCAAATCTTAATCACCTTACTAGGACCTTGCTCTTCTTGGCACTATCAAGGGTGTTTCTTAGCTGTTGGAATGAGCAAAAGTAATCCCTTGAGTGAATAGAGGAAGTATTTATAACCCCTCATTCAAAATGAACCGTTATGTGCCTCTGCGGGGTGACCGGACGCTCCGGTCAGACGCTCCGGTCAGTTCACCCTGACTCCCAGCGTTTAAGTTGTGACCGGACGCTGGACAGCGTCCCGTCAGCACTGACCGGACGCGTCCGGTCACGATTTTCCTTCTCTAGAACCTTACTGATGTTGACCGGACTCTGGAACCCCAGCGTTCGGTCACTTTGCTGCTCAGCATCCGGTCAGTAGCCGGAACCTGATCAGTGTCCGGTCAACACTGACCGGACACATCCGATCAGGATTCTCCCTCTCTGGGACCTTACTGGATTCGACCGGACGCTGGGACCCAGCGTCCGGTCACTCACCTCTCAGTGTCCGGTCACTTCCAAACGATTTCACCTTGATCAAATGAACTGACCGGACTCTGCGCCAGCGTCCGGTCACATAGGAACCAGCGTCCGGTCAGCATTTGACCCTCCATTCACTTCCAACTCGCAATCATATGTGAATAAAGTTTGCTCCAATTGATCTAAGGGATTTTTAGGAGCTACCTAGTGCCAGATTTGATAAGTGTGCACCACACCTAACCCACTAGACTCACCTAGGTCAAGCTACCTGTCCATACCCCCCTTACTAGTACGGCCAAAGGAAAAATAAAGTCCTAAACTACTTTAAGTGTCTCTTCAACACCAAATGACACTTAGAGCTAGTCCATCCTTAACCTTGTCGTCCATCCTTTGAAAACTGAAATGATATCCATCGTAGGGGCATGACCACCATGATTGCCCAATCAATTTCCATTATCGTGACCTAACTTAATTGCCTCTGCAAAACACACGTTAGTCACAGTAATCTTATATTGTCATTAATCACCGAAACCCAACTAGGGGCCTAGATGCTTTCACCCTCAAATCACCACGATCGGAGCCAGAGACAATCAGCTTCCCCGCTCGATGATCCTTGCTGCACCAAGCCGTCTAGGTGGTGGCAACCACCAAGAGTAACAAGTGAAAACCACAGTGAAACACAATCACCAAGTGCCTCTAGATGCAATCACTCAAAGCAATGCACTTGGATGCTCTCAAATCTCACTAGATGATGATCCAATCAAGCAAGGTGAGTTAGAGAGTGTTGGCTATGCTCACTAGGATGTATACTCAATACAAATAGCCAAGAGAGTGAGCAAGAACTGGCCATGAGGCTAAAATAATAGAAGCCCTCACAAAATAGAGCCGTTGGGCACCACGGGTAGCTCACTGCGGGTCGACCAGACGCGCTGGTCAGAGATGACCAAACGCACGCCACCAGATTCCAGTCACCCGATGAGCGCCACGTGGCCCTGCCTTCAAACGCTAGCTGCAGATCTCCAATGGCTACATGTCTGCGCCCATGCGGTTAAAGAGCGACCGGATGCATCGATGAGGCGATCGGTCACACACGCCCAGGCCCACGAAGCCAATAACCGGACACGCTGCTCTACCGACCAGACTCTCCACTACGCCGCATCAGGTCACTTCCAAAGATAATCCAGAGCCACTTTTTCTTGATTGGATGCATCAGATCAACTGCGGCCGGACGCATGGCAGCGTCCGATCCGCTCTTGCTTCTCTCTGTGCGCCACGACTACTTGCATCAGCGTACATCACTGCCGATCGGACACACACCGCCGCGTTCGATCACTCTGTCAACCAAAGTCCGGTCATCAAGACCGAGGCCATGCTACTTCTCCACCATTGACCGGATGCATTGGTCCAGAGTCCAGTCCTACGTCCGGTCACGAGAAACAGCGCCTCCTCTTCACCAATTTCTCCACCCTTGCTCAAAAGTACTAACCACCAAGTGTATCACCTTGTGCACATGTGTTAGCAAGTTTTCACAAACATTTTCAAGGGTGTTAGCACTCACTAAAATCTAAATGCATATACAATGAGTTAGAATATCTAGTGGCACTTTGATAACCACATTTCACGATGAGTTTTACCACTCTTAATAGTATGACTATCTATCCTAAATGTGATCACACCCACTAGGTGTCTTGATCACCAAAACAAAATGGCCCTATGGATATCACCTTTGCCTTGAGCCCATTTTGTTTTTCTCTTTTTTTATTTTCCAAGCCCGAGCACTTGATCATCACCATGACCATCATCGTCATCATGATCATCACCATTTGCTCCACCACTTAGAATGTGCTACCTTATCTCATGATCACTTAGAGCTATGGGTTAGCACTTAGTGTTTCATCAAATTCACCAAAACTAAACTAGAGCGCTTTCAGGCATCCTGCTGCTCCCGCGTGGCCAGGAGCTCGGCGACGCGCCGGTCCCAACGAGCATCGAACTCATTGAACCTCCTGTGGATCTCAGCGAAGGCAAGCTTGATTTCTTCGAGGAGGAGCTGGGAAGAAGGAGAGATCACAGAAGAGGAATTCATAGCGCTAGGAACCGAAAATCGATGGTTCTGATACCAATTGTTAGCAACCCGATTGCACATCCCCAATCAATTACTGATAACTGGTGTGATACAATTTGAGAAAGGAGTTTGGGAAGGCAGTGAGCATAAGATCGAGGAAGTAGACTAGAAGTAGTACATCTAGGGAAGAAGATAAGCAGCAGCAGTAGGGAAATCTGGGTACAGAAGAGGGAGATACTTGAGGAGGAAAGAAGAACAGTAAATAAACTAAGGGAAGGTTTCTAATATTTGTTCGATGCCCCCGTTGGCCTGCTCTCGGTTCCCTTTTGTAGCTGCTGGATGGACAACCTATCTCGGGCCCACTAGGCAGCCACTCCTAACAGACACCTTCTCTTGTTGCCATGCCGGCATGGCATGATAATCCTTTTTCTTGGCACAAACACGGCGTATGGTCCAGCGGCCCGTTTTCATTCAATACCGTACCAGCCCCAGCCCCTAAAGAAGGCACTCGGTGATACTATGTTAATCTCTTTGGGTTTTAATTGAGCTGAGAGATGAGATCGATCGTGTGTTTCAGAGCTACTGTAAGGGCTCGTTCGGTTACAGCCGTTCCGGCTAGGAATGAATCCTCGTGAAGGTGGTCTATACATATTACAATAGTGTTTCTGGCCGGAATCGAATGATTCCATGACGTGATTCCCTGGAAACCGAACGTAGCCTGTGGACAAGAATGTATACTAGCATGTCTTTCCAAAACTAGTCCATTCTAAACTATAAGTCGCTTTGATTTTTATTGGTATGTTCAATTTGATATGTATCTAGACATATGTTATATCTAGATGCATAGTAAATTGGATGTACAAAAAAAAGTCAAAACGACTTATAATTTGGAACATAGTAAATGCCAACATATTTTGTTCACAAAAGACACGTATATGTATGTATAATAAAAGTCAAAAGCAAGAACTTGTACGTTAGAAAAGTTAAACCTGATTTATAATTAGTTTGAAACGTAGCATGCATCAATAATCTATCTATACACGCTTCATTACATGCATACACTATATATATTACTGATGCCCATATATATACGAGTATATATACAATACATCTCACGGACGCTCTCGATCTCTGCCTGGCCGAAAGAGGTAGCTATCTATCGCACATTAGGAGGAACGAGCAGCTGGGGCAGCTGCGGGCAGTCGAAGGGGTCGTCGTGCGGCAGCAGTTCGGCGGTGCGCAGGCCGGTGAAGAGCATGAGGGCGAGGGTGACTGCCACGGACAGCACGGCGAGCGCCAGCATCAGCGCGTTGGCCGCCGCCTGCCGCACCTCCCGCGCGTACTCCGCGGACGCCAGCGCGAGTAGCGTCAGCGGGAACGAGTAGGCCCACCACGCCACGCTGAAGCGACGCATCGCACGCTTGAACAGCGTCGGCCGGGAAACCTGCATGCACGCATGCATATCATCAGTGAAGTTCATATAATCACCGTACCACACAGTATGGAAAGAAAAGTGTAGTACGCTGTAGCCACCTCCATTTACGATAATTTTATATACTAATTTACGATAATGCCAATACATATTTACGATAGTTGGGTTACTATAACACATGAAGATATTTACCATAACGTTATAGTAAACCACTTAGTATGGAGTTACTATAATCTCGTAAATTAACATAGTAATTATCGTAACTCAAAGTTGCTACAGAATAAGTTATTTTGTAGTCAGGAGTATATATATATATATATATATATATATATATATATATATATATATATATATATATATATATATATATATATATATATATATATATATATATATATATATATATAGACACACAGAGAGAGAGAGAGAGAGAGCATGCATGATCCAGTAATATAATTCCAACGTGCAATGCATGAGTGGCTGCCTGCCTGCTTGTAGTCGTTGTACGTAAGAAAAAGATATGCATGCATCGTCTATATATCCCACATTCCCTTCCCTGCTTCCCACAGGGATCGATCATATTCATATCATCGTAAGGGGATCGGAGGACAAGGTATCTTTTAATTTGTCTCCGCCCACCATTACCAACGAGAATAATAGTATTATATCTATCTACTAGTGATCTAGTGCACGCGCACTATCTAGCACTTGTTCTAATTTTCGGACTAATAAAACAAGTGTGTGCGCAACCCAATTTCATCATATATATACTTTCATTCAAGCAAAAATTATTATGCATAAAATTAAATAAAACAAGAAGAGAAATAAACGACGACGTACGAGGGACGCGAAGAGGAAGAGGGAGAGGAAGAAGAGCATTTTGCAGCAGGTGTCGAAGGAGGCGGATATGGCGCCCCAGGCGAGCGACGCCATGCTGGGCGCAGCGAAGAAGAGGAAGAAGACCGGGCGCAGCACGGCCGGCAGCGAGTCGGATCCGAGGAACCTCTGGTAGAGCGTGACGAAGAGCACGAGGTAGTGCGCGGCGCCGACGGCGAAGATGGCGACTGCGCCATCGTGCCAGCCCATCCTGGCGGCCGCCCTGGCCGTGACGAGGTTGCCGATGACGGTGATATGGCTGGCCGGGTTGGCCACCATGGAGAGGAACTTCCGTCCGCGCGTGAACCACTGCCCGTAGACCTTGACGTCCAGCGCGAGGATGGGCAGCGAGAAGGCCCACCACAGCAGGTGGTAGGGCGGCGCGCTGGGGCGCAGGAACAGGAACGGCGCCGACTGCAGCAGCAGCAGACAGGAGATCCAGGGCGCGAACAGGTAGTTCATGGCCACGTGGTGCCGGAACTCGGCGCGCACGGCGGGGAAGCGGAGCAGGCAGCGCGCGGCGTAGAGCGCGGCGAGCGCGAGCAGGGCCAACAGCGCCAGCGACCAAAGGAGAAGGAACGCCACGGAGGGCAGCAGGGGCAGCAGGGGCCCGTGCCCGCTGGAGGAGGAGGAGGAGGAGACGACGGCGGCGGAGTCGCTGATGAGCGTGCGCCACAGCAGCGCCTGCCCGCTGAGCGCCAGGCTGATGCGGAAGTAGCCGGCGTGGAAACGCGTCAGCATGTCCCACTCCCACCGCCGGAGTAAGTTGTTGCTGCCGTGGCTGCTGGTGGCCTTCTTGCTGCTAGCAGCTGTATTATTGTTGCTAGTACTGCCGCCGTCGTGGGGTTTAAGGGAGGAAGAGGATGACGCGGTGGTTTCCACCACCAATTCCATTTACTAACTTGATTAGCTTGCTAGCTGATCGACCAACTCTATCGATCGTCTGCTTAATTATGAGCTTGCTTCTTGCAGCTAGCTACCTCTCTCTAGTCTCTACCTGCAGGGGGTTATTGGTGGTTATCTCGATCGATCGGTATTTATAGGCCGATCCATCGAGCAGCAGGTCCAGTCCAGCTAGGTTGGGATTTGGGAATAAGCTAAGCACTGCACCGTACTACACAGGATGTACGTCCGTCCTAGCTAATTAAGCTAAGCTAGGTCCATTGAGCAACTGGGGTTACTTAACTCCTTCCTGGACCTGGAGTATATATAGTATATTCTTATTCTCCAAGCAAAGCAAGCAAGTAGTAGCTATATATATATCCTGATGCTCCACCGGATCGGAGGTGAGTGCTCTTGACCGGTTCGTTCGTTCCAGTCCACTGGCGGGCCGGCCTGTGGGTACATGTGGGTGAGGCCGTAACTGGGGCAGGCAGGCGCTGCCAGTTTCTCGCCGATAGCAGTAGGACGAAAACGGTACGAAAATATTCTCGTATTCTATATTTAATTGAATCGAATTCGTATTTTTAGATAAATTCGAAACATCAAAATCAAAATCGGAACGAAAACGGTTTTGAAATTTTTTCGACTGTTTCTACATTTCTACTTTTACAAATCGGAATATCCCGAATTCGAAATTCGGTTTAAACCAAATTTGGTCCATTAGAAGTCCAGCCTTAGAAAAATTGTATCTTTTTCATATGATCTCGGTTGAAGATAATTTTTATATGAAAATTGTAGCTCTCGACGAGATCTACAACTTTCTAGTTTTTAGTTTTTTCATTTAAGGTCTTTAAGATATTTAAAAATAAATAAATAAAATTTCAACGGTATATTAATCACGTACCAGCGCTGATTGCCATTAGAAAAATCATATCTTTCTTACGTGGTGTCGAATGGAGGTACTTTTTAAGAAAGTTGTAGGGCTTGTTAATTATTATTCACTCATTAATTGTTATGCACTTGGTCTTTTGGGTCAATATTCCAATATTGATTTTTTGTATACTGACCGTGTTCGACATAATTCCGCTCGAATTAGTTTATTTTTGAAATTCTCGATATTCCGTAGTTCGTGTTCGTTTTCATGTCTGGCTTTACCACTTTTGTTTTCGTTTTCGTATTCAAATGTAGAAGTAGAAAACGGTTGAGTGGTTTTTCGACCGTTTTCATCCTGGATAGCAGCAGCTATATATTCCTCTGTAGGAGTGTTTTTTTTTCCTGGAAAAACGGTAGCTAGCTCAACAAAAAAAGGTGTGTGAACCGGAGCGCCGTACGAAATATGTAGTATATGTGCATGAATCCTACGTGGATTCCTCGTCAGAATGGGCCAGCAGTGGACCAGCTTTAATTTGGACGTGTTGGCTTTCCCCTCCGATCCTACGGGCGACGGCTGTGTATCACACATCGATGCACACAGAATGATCGAATAGAAAAAGAAAAGTAGTGGAGGTAGCACGAGGACGATCGAGCGAGATTGGCAAAAATAAATTAAAGCCACCACGCACCGCAGACGCACCTCGTAATCACGTCTCCATGGCCGGATTTGGAATTGATATCGTGTTAGGTACATATTAGGTCTGCTAGCTCGATATCGCCTTTAATTTCTTGGATCGGATGATCATATATCCCAGCTGCCATGTGCACCGTGATGACACACTATGGCCATTGCATCATGCCCACCATACCATTTGGGTTTTGGGGATCCATCGGGACCGAGACAGGGGGCAGCGGCTCTCAGCCCGGTCCATCGGCCACACAAGAATATCCAGTAAATACGGTGCTGCCATATACTTTATTAGGTGATGCCTTTACTTATTATTATAAAAAAATGTATAACTAAAAGTACATAAAAATTTCAAAGAATATAGATGGATCAAGTATGTAATTGCTATGTTTTTTTTATCAACCACATAGTCATTAGATGATGAATGGATGTCAAAACCCTCTTATTACCAAATTTATCAGGAATTCGAATCTCTCTGATTTCTAGTGTCTCTTTTACTGCTGGCACCTTTTCCACCATCTCAATATCTTTAGTTTCCTCTTTGAGTTTTCATTACATCTTTAATTCTCACATCTGCCACACAAGATGTTCTTTATTTGTCCTTCTCTAAATCTGGGTGATTAGCTCTCTTCATTTCCCACCCATTGACTGGATCCCACTAGGATAACTGTAAGTTCATTGTTCAAATTGTTGTTACCCATGACTCCCTTCTTCTTACCCATGCTGCCTTCATCTGATTTACCAGAGTTAAGAAGTGCCCTCTTTTTGCCTCAGTGGCAACCAAAGGACCATATTTGGAATTACACATGCATCACCGACACCCCCCCCCCTTCATTAAACTACATGTAGCTCAGTTTCCCGATTTCCACTCTATTGAAGTTGCCAAATATCAATCCACCAACACCAGGTTGACATAAGTCTCCCATTTGCAGGCCCTCATCTTCACTGTCATCCACATCCTCCTTACTATTTTCCAATTGATCCTTGTTGATACCCTCTGCCCTTGCCTTTCTTTTTTGTCACTGTTGCTTGTTCTGCTGGGTCCTGCCAAGGTATCGTCAGTTTGGAACCCTCCCCATAGCCTTGGGTTTTGGGAGACGAATTATCGTCAGAAGCCTTGTCACCCCGGTTCTTATCCATTTATTGTCTGCAGGGTTTGTATATCCTTCCTGTTCTACTTCCATCTGAAAATGAAAATCGTGGAAGTGAAAATACAAGACACCATCAACAGTAGCTAGTACCTTTGTCACATCTCTGCACCCAATCTTCACTCTCACATATTCTTTTTAAGTCAAGTTGTCTTTGTCAATTTCCAAAGGCACTCCAACCTTTGAAGCCACCATGCAAACATTAGAGAAAGACCTTTTTTCATGAGGTATACCCTTAATTCTGAACCAAGTGTCCAGAGGTCCTTTAGACCCTGATGCAGAGTTCCACTTCTCAACCTTAAATACAACAGAAGGGAGAGATCTCGTTCTCATTTCAGTGAAATAAGCTGGCTAGGTCGGGTAGATTGGGATTGTCATGTGCACAGTGACCTGTTGTTTTTAAGTGCTAATCTTTTGAGGAAAAGTTTTGTAGAGTCTATTCACCTCCCTCTAGGCATCGAAACGGTCCTTTCAACCGGCTATGGCATTTAGCATTCGGCCTCCTGAAACCGATAATAGCCGGTTACAAGAATTTGTAGCCTCGAAATTACACTTAGGGGCAAATAGTTGGACCTTCCTCAAACTGATATAGCCAGAGATAGTGGCTGCTATTGCTAGTTATGTTAAACTATAGTGGAGAATTACAAGTGCATTGATCTTATATCTTGGATCCATTCTTTCGAGAGTTTGACATACAAAACCCACATGCAAGTCATCGTCCCAGTAGCATCTAATTCTTTTGAGAGTTTGACATACAAAACCCACCACATGCGAGTCATCGTCCCAATAGCATCTAAAAGAGCCTATAGTATATTAAAAAAAGAAATGTTTGGCACAATGTTTTCTAGATTAGCCCTAGGCTAGTTGATAGGATTGGCTCTAGATTCGAAAACTCTTTGTGGGTTGAGAGTAATTAAGCTAGAGCACACTAGACAAAACTTTAAGTGCATATCTTACTAGATTAGTTTATTATTTTTCTTGTGATATTTTTAATTTGAGCTCTCAAATTATACACCAAATTCGTCCCCTCTAAATGCTCACGGGATCCTACAACAGCTCAGAACATCTATAACCCTTAAAAAGACTTCACAATAGCTGCTATTGGATACTCAATAATGCTTTATTTATATATAGATGTCCTTTTTTGAGAACTACATAGTACAACGCAAAGGCTCACAACGCAAATACACTCACCCCTATGAACACACATACACTCATCTTCGAAGACTAGGCCGGCAAATCATTGAGATTGACGAAGACATACCACAGGCGCCTCATTATCGACGGGAGCGTTGCCTACCACTGAAAGCACAACACCGTTAAATCCTAAAATAGTCGCTACCATGAAGAGTCGAACCTCGAACCTGATGAGATGGTATTAAGGCTCTTGTAACCACTAGGCTACAAGCTCTTTCGCATATATAGAGGTCCTTGGTAGAGGCGGTTGTCAAAACCACCTATATATGTACAGGCACTCGGTTGAAATAATAGAGCATTCTTGAAAAATGTTTTGTTTAGTGTTGACAGAATATCGTCGGCAGTCCTCCGAGGGGTATCCCACGAAGGTAGATTGATCTGCAGAGGGGCGTGTAATCAAGAACAAGAAGGCAACAGAGACACACGAGTTAGACATGTTCAGGCTGTCACTATGACGTAATACCCTACTCCTGTGGTCTGTTGGTTTGTATTGGCTATTGTATGATATTGCGTGTGTTTGGAGAGGGTCCCTGCCCGCCTTATATAGTCCGGGGGATAAGGTTACAAGTCGGTTAGATCTGAGAGATAACCGAAAAGTAATAACAGATTATAGGAATCATGGGATCATACATATCCTAACAGACCTCGTAGCATCTTCAGGATATCTTCCCAGTATCTTGCGGGAGGCGCCAAGCAGAGTCGTGCCCCGCAAGGCTTCATCTCTTAGGCTAGGCCGCCCCTGGGGGCGTAGCCCATGTGGTCTGCCATGGGTATCTAGGGTCGTACCCCCACAGCTAGTCCCCGAGCGCCTTATACCCGTTGTGCAATGCCGTCTTGAGTTTGTCCGAGCAGGTGTGATCAAAGCCAAGCAGTCAAACTCATGGTCCGACCACCGTGATGAGTTGCCGAGCAGTCGTGAGCATTTACCGAGCAGTGTGAACCATCGCCGAACAGTGTGAACCGTCGCCGAGCAGCGTAACCCAAGTATGGCTTGCCATAAGGGTGTAAGGAGCTCAAGTTCAGAATCAAAAATTTCTTCGCTGTGGACCAAGTGTGCCCACTTAGAGTCCGACCACGAGAAAGGGAGATAGTCTTCTTTAGCTTCA